CAAATCAAATGGATTAGCCATTGCAGTACATGGAAAGAGAAGAAGTGCAGAAGTTAAGAGTGGAGCACGGCACATATGGAAATAGAAGAGGTTGAGATGGAAAGGATGAAGCACCGGTTAAATAGGAAGGGGTAGATGGACAGACGCCTAGAGAAAACGAGAGCGCGCACGGTGCCATCCAACGAAAAAAGCGACAAAGAACGAGTTGTAGGCAAGCCATTCGAAACCGGAAAAAAACGCGCGCGCAGGGCAAAAACGCGCGCGCATGAGCAGCAACGCGCCCACACCCGACCCAACGAGCGCCATGCAAGCAAGCCCCATCACAGTGCCATGCAAAATGTCTTACGACCATTATAAAAAGCAGCGCCTACGGGGACTTGAACCGTCGACCTCCAACCTCAAGCCGCGGCGGACTAGCTACTCGAGCTACACAAGATTGTTGTAAAGGTGACACCCGCAGTGCTATTTAATAAGGCCAAAGGAGGAAAAATACCCCCTAATTAATCACTCCTTGGTAAGCACAATTATGTCAACGATAACTAATTCAGGTATGGAGGGAGTATGTTTTAAGTGTTTTCATCTGGATGTTGCATATATTTTTGCAATGGTTACACACGTGTTTTCCGGTGTTCTAGACGTATGTTGCAAGTGTTTCAGCTGCCTCACACGTATGTTGCAAGTGTTTCGTCTGAATGTTGTAAAATTAGACCGTTGCACAGGTTGTAATGGGACCCCCTGCCGCAACCACTTGCTGCAGCTGCTGGGGCGCCGTGCATGCACGTGGGAAGCGGAGGAGGAAGACCGGAATGGCGCGGGCGGTCCCGCCTGTGCGCGCAGCAGGGATAGGGTGTGTGGTCTCCACCTGTGCGTGCAGCGGGGCTTGGGCGCAAGCGTGTAGTAATCGTTTTTTTGTTGCGGATTTGGTTAGACTAGTTTTTTTTTTTTTTTGAGGATTCAGTCAAACTGGTGAAATCAGATAACTTTCCGTTGGGTGGGAGCTGCGTTCAGACGCCTCCTGCGGCTGGACGTCGCTAGCGTCTCCCTTTCCATTGTCACGTCATAGAGGAGCACAAAAAACGACATGGATCGGATCGGAGAATGTAAATGTGTAACCGAGGTGCGTGGAAGATGACTTTAATTTGTCGAGCTCCAACCCAAAATAAAGGAAACAAAGCCTTTACTCTCTTTCTCTCTCTATATATACACCTATAAATATAAATAAATAAACTAGTAAAACAGAGCTACAAGTTGAAGGCTTGAAGCATTCGAGTTACTGACCCCGGATGAAGCAGCAAGAGGCCAAGCAAAATTGCTTGGCACTGTCGCAACGCCTGCACTTCGGCAACTCCCACCGGCCGAGGCAGGCGAGACAGCAGGCAACGAACATGTATATGTACTCGACGCGATCCACTGTCATGTGCTCCACGCAAAGCACAGAAAAGAGCGGTACCAAAAAAAAGACACAAAAAACATGTACATGTACTCGATCCGATCCATCCTCACGTGCTCGCGCAAAGCACAGAAAAGAGCGGCACCAAAAAGAAAAAAAAGAGGGACCCAAAAATACTGTTTTCGCCCGGAAAAGAACCGAAGGCCTTCAGTGTGTTAGACAGACGTGATAACCAACTACACCACGAAAACGTTGTTACTTGAGGACTCCCCTGTTTGCTTAGTACGTTAACAAATTGCAAACTTACCACACCAACACAGCGGTCAGGGGCATGGCAGGCGTTCTCTGATCAAGGTATGAAAACGAAAATTTTTAAAAATAATATTTTTTTAATGATCAATTACAAAACTAGCATTTCGATAGTAAGAATTGTAAATATAGCACACTGTTAGATTTTGGCTAGCCGATAGGACCCTATCGGCAACTGAAGAGCCGACAGGACCCTATCAGCAGCCCACTAGCTGACTAGTCCCCCCGACTAGGCAAGAAAGGACAGCCCAGTGGACCCATATTGGGCCAATAGGCATGTCGGACACCGGATAGCCGGTAGGACCTTGTCGGTCATCGAAAGGCTGACATGCCCTAAAATATCAGAGTGGCAGTCTTCTCCCTTGCGTCCTTTGTCTCTCTCTCTCTCTCTCGCTCGCTCGCTCAGCCCCGTCGCCCGCCGGTGCTCCTCTGCCGCGCGCGGGCAGCTTCTCATCGCCGGCCGCCGGATCTGGCGGCGGGCCCGTCACCACCACCGCCCACCACGCCCGCGCCCCCTCCCCCACACACCGGGCCCTACTCGGCCAATGGTGTTAGGTATGGATTTTTGTTTTTTAGTTAGTTTAGTGTATTAGTTTAGTTAGATTTGTGATACGAACTAATGTACTCTTAGATTTGTGATGCAAACTAATGAACTAATTTGGGCACCTTTGCAATGGAGGCAACCCTCCAATACAGACACTCGCCTGCATCGAGGCCAAGGACAATTAAAACGTAAAAGGACATTGTTTAGCCTTTGCAGCGAGTATTCTATCCTTTTTTGAGCATAAGAAGGACATTTGTGATGCGAACTAATCAAATGTTTTTAGTGTTGCTCAAAATGTGGCAAAGTTAGTTTTCTATCCGGAGATGGTTGTGCTCGGGAAAAAGTAGCACATCGGGTGATGGCTGCGTCGACAAAAGAAGGGATACAGCATGAAATAATACTGTCAGCCGCGTGGGGCCCGACAGGCCTATCAACTGGACTGCCGACTTCAATGTCGGCCATCCAGAAGCCCGCTAGCCTATCGGCAGTCCACGGGCCGACTGGTACTGTCGGCTCTCTAGATGCCGACTGGATGACGTGTGTCGGCTCGTGACCGATAGAGATCCTATCGGCCGTTGAGAGGCCGACAGGCTGCTATATGTGAAATTTTTGTATAACAGCTTCTAAATTTATAATTAATCATTAAAAAATATTATTTAAAAAAATTCGTATGAAAACACTTTATTTCCAATCCCATGAATAGCATTCTATATTTTTGGATAAAGCATAGCGCATACTACAAATTATGCTTCGTTGAAAATAGAATGCTGGAAACTAGTCATGACACTACTACTCCAGATCATCGCTTCGATTTAAAGGCACAATTACTATATCTTAATACTCGATATAGATGCATGCCAACACAATGAGATGACGAATATGTATAAGTCCATATTTTTCTTTTTCATACATTGGCTTGTCATTCTTCATGACATCAATCACATATGGAAGATCATACTTGTTTGTTAGTTATTTTGAGCCTTGAATAATAATGATTTGTTTAATAACGCCTTTCTCTAATACATATGATACAATTAATGTCCTCAACATAGAACAAATTAGTTAAATCTTTAATCGTGCAACCTGTTCGTTTGGCCGTATTTGGCTTATAAGCCATAGCTTATCAGCCAACGAACAATATTTTTCTCTCATACCAAACCAGCCAACAGGTACTTTTAGTCATGGCTTATAAGCCAAACAAACCCAAACAAACAGGACGGTGATATCATACAATTCAATAAAGTCCTACTAAAGAGCTAGATGCACTTTTAAATGTGTCAATGGATGTTGGTACGATGATGGGGCCGCCTGTGGCTGCTTGAGGTAGAAGTGTCCAAAAGATATGTGTAGGATTGTGATAAATCTGATGATGGCTCAGGATTAGAAAAAGAGAGCAATTATGGATTCACAAGAGAAGAAAAAATATGAACGGAAAATTAAATATATAGGAGGACCAAGGAACTAAATAGTGGGAGACTTGGATAGTAGTTTTATTGAGAAATGCAACTCACCAAGAGAACCTTGGCAAAAAAATTGCACGACCACAAAGTAGAAGTGGAAAAAAGGGAAGAGGCGGACAACAATATTCAAGGACTAGATAGCAAGCACGTAACACACACACATATTTATGAGCTGAGAGGACAATTTATATCTTTGAGGAGTTCACATACAAAATGTTAGAGGATTATTTTTTTATTCTTTTAACAAAAAACTAAAATAGAGAATTATTTTAAAGAGCTCATGGTGATGCTCTTTAGTTTCCCCAGTTACCTTCAAGTTGCCCAAACCTCAGAAACAATTTGTAATTGACATCCGTTTGCTAAAGCCATTTCGGCTGCCCTCTAATCCCATCCGACGTCTTCTTGAACCAAATACCAAACACATCAACTGTGACGTGCATGTTTTCCTTGTTTAGCCTATTGTTGTTCATTGCCACATCACAAGGAGGCACGGCGGGGAGGATGAAAATGTATCAAGTGTGTAATGCCTCGAGGCCAAAAAAAAAAAAAAAGAAAAAAAAAAAATCCCTCGTGCACGCGCAAACCACAGAAGAAAGCGGTAAGAAAAAAAGTAGGAACAAAAGGAATTGTTTTCGCCCGGACTCGGAACGGAGACCTTCAGTGTGTTAGACTGACGTGATAACCAACTACAGCACAAAAACGCCTTTGTTTCAGGGCTTCCTTGTTTGTTTCATATCCAAACAAGATTGTAAATTTTTTTTATAAGGAACAATTTTATTAACAACAAGTCGCTGCAATTACAGTACAGCTTCCATCAAGTACAGCATTCAGCGCTTCCCTAATTGGACAAGAAAGTACATGATCTTGATTCGAACAGCTAATGTTCGAATTGATGGTATTACAATTAAAATCTTTCAAAGCCTGGGAAGCAAGTGTATGCGCTGTAGTGTTAAGCTTCCTGGAGATCTTGAAAACCTTGGCATGGAGATTGGAGCAGCAATTGATGAATGTCTGAGTGAGAGGCTTGATTTCCCAACCACAGTTTCTACTGACTAGGGTATGACAGGTGTTCTCTGGTCGAACTAGGAAAATACCTTACTTACAATCCCATGAATAACATCCTTTATTTTCGGATAATAAGGCATAGCACATACTACAAATTATGGTCTGTTTGAAAATACAATGCTGGACTGGAAGCTCAAGAACACACTGCTGCTCCAGATTATTTACAAGCACAGTTACTACATCTTAATACTCGGATGCTTCAGAACGCAAGCAACAATAGCGTAGGATCCGATTAGCGGATATCTAACATCTCAGAAGCAGCCGCAGCATTCCTCCAGCAGGCAGCAACAGCAGAGAGCAGCCAAACTGCAGACGACACAGACCAAAATGAGATGCAGATATTTACACGAGATTAAGCAAACAGATAGAAGCTGAAAAAACTGAATAACATGTTGCCTGGTAACCCTGGTTATTATGGTGCTAAAACTGTATAACTCATCACCAGTATGTTTGACCAGATTTGCATTACCAGAATTTACTCTGTCAAGGGATGTACATTCATACATAAGCAGAAACGCCTTACAATAACTAAATCAACACCTAAGACTACAGAACATATGTGAGTATGTGACTGCTTATTTCTTCCTGCCCATGATTAAAGATCACTATAAGACTGAATATGTGTGAGTGCTTATTTCTTACAGCTCATAGCTAAAGGTCACTGTTCGGCAGGCTGGGCTTGCTCGTATACGATCGTAAACTTCCAGCCGGAACAATATTTTTCTCTCACACCAAATCAGCCAAACCAGCCAGCAGTAAATAATCCACGATCGTTTACGGCATGCCGAACAGGCTAATATATATGTGACTGCTCATTTCTTGCTGCTTTTATTTAAGTTAAAGGTCACTAAGACCTGTATCTTACTGCATCATGCAAAATCCTCCAACCAACCACTACCTTAGATGTGCAACGGCTGTTGATACCACTATCTGAAGAAAAAAAAGACTTGACAGCAAAATTGCAACATTTAGAATCAATGCTACAGAGAGACGGGGATATTGATGAAGATGTTAGCCATAGAATCAAAGCAGGGTGAATGAAGTGGCGCCACGCATCTGGTGTCCTATGTGACAAAAGGGTACCACAGAAGCTAAAAGGCAAGTTTTATAGGACGACGATTAGACCTGCTATGTTGTATGGTGTAGAATGTTGACCTACGAAAAGACAACATGTTCAACAGATAAGTGTTGCGGAAATGCGTATGTTGTGTTGGATTTGCGGTCATACAAGAAGGGATCGAGTTCGGAACGATGATATACGTGATAGATTAGGGGTAGCACCAATTGAAGAAAAGCTTGTCCAACACCGGTTAAGATGGTTTGGACATGTCCAACGGAGACCTCCAGAGGCACCGGTGCGTAGTGGAATCCTAAGCCAGGATAGTAACGTGAAGAGAAGCAGAGGAAGACTGAAGTTGACTTGGGTAGAAGCAATAAAAGGAGACTTGAAAGGATGGAATATACCCAAAGACTTAACCTTAGATAGGAGTGCTTGGAAACAACTATTCACGTGCCTGAACCCTGATTGTTTCTGCTGGGTTTCAACTCTAGCCTACCCCAACTTATTTGGGACTTAAAGGCTTTGTTGTTGTTGTTGTTGCTGCTGCAACATTTCTTACAGCAGTGTCTATATTAGCGCATAATAGACATGCCAACAATGGTACAGGGACCAAAAAAATAAATTATGTCACAGGGATCTCGCTCTCCTCTGAAAAACACTAGAAACTGCTAATCATTACTTAACCCGGACTAAGCAATAAGATCCTGACGAGCTTTGTATTATCCTAGCCCAATATCTCATTCTCATCGCAACAAAAACCAGGATCTGCAGCAACCTCTAATCTCAAGCAATAAGCAGCACATTAACACACAGGAAATGAAATGTTTGATGGCAAAATGAACATCAAGCAAGCAGTTGTAGCATATTTTTAATTACCATCCTTTGAGGAACCCAGAGGAGCTAGAGCTACCCTGGTCTCCATGGTTGTGGTGGTGCTGCTGCTGATACTCTCCATGCGGTGGCGGCGGCGGGTAGTAAGGGCGTTGCTGGTCGTTGAAGTAGCCCTGGTACCCCGGTGGAGGGTGTTGAGGTGGGGGGTAAATCCCCTGCGGCGGAGGTGGGTACACGCCATGGGGTGGTGGTGGTGGATGTCCATGGCCCGGAGGTGGTGGGTAAGGGTACGCCTGACGAGGATGCCCTGAAATTGCAGTGAGATGAACTATGGCATCACAACATGAAGAATGACTTCAGACAAGATTTCGCGCATGGAGTAGGTAGCTCGCAAGAACAGGAACAGTAACGTCTTGAGAAAGCGAGATTGCGGAGCAGCCATAGAAACAGGATAAGCAATAGCAGGGCTGATCCTTCCCAGCAGGCTTGCTGGATTGAGCATAACCGTGACAAACAACAACAGTTGATTACCATACTTGCTGGATTTGGTTCTTGTGGATGACTTAAAATAGCAGAGGGATGAGACCAGAGTCTAGTGAATCAGATACCAATAAGTTACGGATAACAGTTGCTAGAAAGGAGATGAGAAGATGTGGGTGAAGAAATTGCGTGCCTGGAGGAGGGTAGGGTTCCTCGGGAGGGACTCTCTGGTAGCTCATCTCTCTTTTCCCCTTTCTTCCTCCTTTCCTTCCCTGTGAACTTCTTGCTTGCTTCGGAGATGGCTGTTTCTTTACACTGCTGACTGACTCGATTACGTACCAACTGGTGGTACTGGAGGGGGACAGCGCTATACCTATCATTTAATATCGCGTTAGGGCCTCCCCAAGCCCGTTCCTTAGCTGGTCACAGAATAAAAAAAAAAAGACAAACGAAGGCAATTGTTCTGTTCGCTTGGTTAAAAGCTTATGAACTGGGAGAAAGGTTGATCTTTTCATTCCTGTGGGTCCTATCTTTGGACCTGGATTACATTGGGCTGATAAAACAGATGATGCCAAATGAGTAAATTGCATGACCGATCCTTAAAGTATTAGACGGATTTCATCTGGGTCCTCAAACTACAAAATCGCACGTTTTGCTCCCTAATGTATTTAAGTGATCTCATCTAGGTCCAAAATAGACACGAGGAGGGTTAGAAGCTGACGTGGCCGTCCATGTGGACATGATTTAACCCGGTCACCGCCACCTCGATGACTGGAAATTGACCTTGCTGAGGTGGCGGTTGACCAGTGACATGGCGTATCCTGATTGGAGGGAAGGTGTTTGTTGACTATCGGTCAACAAGCGATCTGAACCGTCGGTTTTGGATCGGGCGGGGTAGGAGGAGTCGTCCTCCCCTGTAGCTGCGCTGGGGTGCTCTTTGGCGGCATCCTCGCCGGAGTCGAGGCAGGATGGCACTCCGATAGACGATGATCTCCGGCGAGCGGCGGAGCAGGAAGAGGAGGCCACGACAAAGTCATCTACGGTGATCTCGATGGTAGGGAGGCAGCGGGGAAGGGAATCAAGGCGGTGGGGCGGACGGTGGCGGTCTGGGAGCTCCGGTGAGGTCGGGGAGTGGAGTTGCCGGCTCGGATTGACATCGTGGAGTGGTGCAGAGGCCTCGTCGTGCATCTACGAACCCAACGGAGGAGAAATCGAGTCTGGAGGTGAGCTGTGGACGAAGATCGGGAGCTCGGCTGTGTTCTTGGTAATGGCGGGGGCGACGGTGGATTCAGGCGCTAGAGCGAGAGAGAGAGATCACAGGGAGGGGCGAGGCGGCGTGACGCAGCAGCAACAGGCGGTGCGTGGAGGCGCGACGCAGCGGTAGCAGCAGGCGGCAGGCGCACGGTCGAGCTACCACCGCTCTCCCGTGGTCGCCTGCCCCGATGCGACGGCAAGGCCTGCGGGTTGCATGCTCGCCCCTGCGTGCCGGTGATGGGGCGCGTGACGGTGATGCACTCTCTTCGCCTACCCCGATCTGTGGCGCGACCAAGATCCCAGCAAGGCCACCTAGTGAGCTCTCATGAGCCTGGCGGCGGCATTGGAGCTGGAATACAGGGCCGTCCTAGTGGTGACTGGGCTAGAAGATCCTAGCTGCGCATGCCACGTCTTAGGGTTTTATACTTAAATCGTCCACATGGACACCCCACGTCAGCTTCTAACCCTTCTCGTGTCTATTTTGGACATAGATGAGATCACCTAAATACATTAAGGAGCTAAACGTGCGATTTCGTATTTTTGGGACTAAGATGAAATCCGTCAAATACTTTAAGGACCGGCTGTGCAATTTACTCATGTCAAATCATTTGTGTATTCCGTCTGAGGTCCAACCATGTTTAAATACAATTAAAACTACATAGAAAACCAAAGCCAATTGCTGGAATAGCTCAGTTGGTTAGAGCGTATGGCTGTTAACCATAAGGTCGGAGGTTCAAGCCCTCCTTCTAGCGTAGGTATTTTTTGGCATTTTAAAAAAAAATTTGGTTTATGTTTTTATTTCTGTAGGATTTTTTGCATTTTTTAAATTTTTGTTTCTGTTTTTAAAATTTTTGTTTCCATACGTCCCAAAAGGCTATTTTTTTTAGTTTTGCTTCCATGTGTCCCAAGATGTTTTGTTTTTAATTTTTTTTTGTTTCCGTACATCCCAAAAGGCTGCTTTTTTTTAAGTTTGTTTCCATATACGTCTCAAAATAAAGCTAATTATACTTTTTTCAGTTTTGTTATATTTTGCCTTTTTGTGTTTTTTTTAAATTTGTTTCCGTACATCCCAAAAGGCTGCTTTTTCTAGTTTTTCTATATATGTCCCAAGATTTTGTGTTTTTTATTTTGTTTTCGTACGTCTGAAAAAGGCTGCTTTTTCTAGTTTTGTTTCCATATACGTCCCGAGATAAAGCTAATTATACTTTTTTCCAGTTTTGTTTTCATAATACGTCCCAAAAGCTAACATATTTAGACTATACTTAGAACGCGGGGAATTTTTTTCTTGTGAAACTTCTGCGGTACAAACATGCTATTAAGTGTCAGTAGGTCACATTTATCCTAATGTACCAGTGTTTTTTACTAAAATATAAATGAACGCTACTTGAAATAGCAACCAAATGAGGTCAAATCACATGTTAAAGAAGCTCACCATGACATTGACAATGCCCTTGTCGAGACAATCCAAACAGATGTATGGATCGTCTATTTCGAAGTTCGGGTGTGAGAGTATGATGACAATGCCCTTGTTGCTTGAGCTACTTTTTAACTATGGAATATTGTTTTTCTCTCACAATATTTCGGCATAACCATCAGCATATGCCAAATTTCAGCATAAGCGAACATGGTGTTAGTTTTTTCGAAAAAAAAGTAGAAGCGCTTCACACAAACATCAAATAATTTGGTTTCATATTTTGTGTCCACTTGTTCTTGCGGACAAAGTGTGGGGTTGTAGATTTATCGTCGATTTGAAATATGATTTGGACAAGAGATTAGATTTGCCTAACTTATCATAAATATAATAAAGAGGCTTGCCAAAGCCGAAGGAGATGCACCCAACCGAAACAAATCAATCTACTCTTGCAATTTCGTTCTTTTCTCCTAACCTCTCTTCCAACACAATGTCATTTCTCATCTCTAATCCGATGACTATATGTGTCGTCTTAGGGTGTTAACTAACCTAGGGCAACCTGACAATGTCTATGCCCTGATGGATGTGTCAACCGACTTTACTAGCCATTCATAGTCAAGTTTCCATAATAGATATCATTTGCTAGTTTGATTGTAGACATAGTTGTTCTGCACCACACGGTTACACTTCTCGATTTCTCGGGTAAGACCCGAGAATACAACACCATCCAATTTCTGGAACCGAAGCATCTATTTCCGCGAAAGGCTTTGACAAGGCGCAACACTAAGGGTGCAAATTCAATGCTCAAATATTTGGTGCCAACATACGCCTAGCTCATCTCCTTTCGCTAGCTCTCGTGTCTCAAAAGAATTTTGGCGATGAAAGCCTATATGCTCAACTCTGTTTGGGAGGGCTTGTTCCCCTAAAACGGTTTCTCCTTCTAGATAATGTTGTATAGTGCAACAGCTAGAAAGGACATATTTCTATATCCCAAAAATGAGGGCTTGTTTGTGAGGGCTTTTTCCTAGCTCTTACTCCATGCTATAGGACCAAAAGGAGTCAAGGGTGGGGGCGGGGGTGTCTGATTTTGAGTTGGTCGTCAAAGCCGGTGAAGCCAATCTTTCTAGTTTCAGCAACTTTTAGTTAAGTTTAGTAATAAGAAAGAGAAAAATGACTATGCTATAGTGTGCAGTTCCCTAAAAGTCATGGCTGTTTTAGGAGGAGAAACCCTCCCAAGCAACACTGAACTGAATAATTGGTTCCATCGACTTTGACTCTTCATGTACTGTAGAAAGAAGTCGAGCTAGAATAAACTCTCTAAAATAGGCGCTTATTTGTCTCGGCAAAATAAGATGGCTACAGAAGCCTAGACTTTACTGGGTTTTGAGTCGGCGAATTACTTTTGCAATAAAACTTTAAAAATAGGGTTATTTGGATCTAGGCCATTACAATTTTTGAAGTTTTGAGATACGCCATTATAATTCGTCTATTTGGTGATCTGCCGTTATAATTCTATCTCTCTTTCAGCTATGCCATTTTCTACGCCTGCTGTGTATAAGGGCCCACTATCATAGGCGTATGCGTATAGGAATACGTATGGACAACATATAGGCCCATCGGATGCGCACGCCGCAACGCCTTGGTCATGGTCGTCATGCTCCAAGCCGAGGCCCGCGCGCGCGCTGTGCTGGGAGGACCCAGCCCGCGCCGCCAAGACCACGCCCGCCCCACCCGACGACCTCACCGCGGACGCGGCAGCCATCGCCACTGCCATCGTCGACGCGGCCACGGCCGTGGCGTTGGCCTCCGCGGCAGTCTTCTCCCGCGTGTCCTCCCTCTTCATCGCCGCGGCCACGGCGCCGTGGAGGTCGAGGACACGCCGCGCCCAGGCACACGAGATGGAGCCTGCAGTCGACGGTGGCGGTCAGGGACATGGGCCACGCGGTGGACCTGCCGGACACGGACCTGCAGGTGTTGCACCGCGTCACGGGCTGGGCGCCCGAGCAGATCACCGTCGTCGCGCTCTCCGCCGCACCCACCTCTGCTTGGTTCTCCTGGACTACAGGTAAGGTACACCACTGTACAAAAAAATCTGTTCTTTGGCCTGGATTCTCTCTCTGCCTGCGTGCACCAGAGCAGAGCACATCAACATCGACGGTGGGTCGGTGGCTCATCCATTGATTTGCCTGCAGAGATGGGCGGCGCCATGGAGCCACTGGACACTAGCGCTATGGGCAGCGTCGTGCGCTACGGCCTTGTCGCCGACTCCCTCATCCACGAGGCCATCGAGGACTTGCTCATGAACATCGTGCTCGGCGTGCAGCACGACCCGCGCGTCAAACGTGGGAGATAAGGACGCCACCATCTTCACCGTGAAGATGCAACACACCTCGGCTACGATATGGACGACAAGGAGGGAGGCAGCGGCGGCGAGATTGAGCAGGCGAGATGCAGGACGGTAGGGAGGGAGGCAGCAGCGACGACATTGAGCAGGCGCACGCTGATGGGCTCCTCCCTCGCGTGCTGGCCACCACAGCGAGCGTCGTCGCTCTGCCTTCGCTCCACCTCGCGTCCACTGGGCTATACATGTCCATACGTGTTCCTATACGCGTTCCAGTAGGTATACGCGTCTGACAGTGGCCCTTGTACGCGGCTAGTGTAGAAAATGGCATAGTTGAGAGAGATATCGAATTACAATGGCAGATCTTCGAATAGGCGAATTGTAATGGCGTATCCCAAAACTTCGAAAATTGTAATGGCCTAGATTCAAATAACCTTTAAAAATAAGAGAAAATTGGCTGTGGGACACTGGAGAAACACGTAATTGGCTAGTGAACACCGCCAAAGTCAAAATTTGCTGACAGACATTACAAATTTATGGTTCTTTGCACGAAGACACCGCACCGATTATTTTATTCATTTTTCGGTTTAGAGGAGAGAGAAGGTGGGGGAAATGTCTAAACTGTCCTTGTCTTCTTCAACCTCTGGTCGTTCACTGGCTGGTCAAGCAGGCCAATAGGGGCCTGGTTGCTGGCGGCGACCTGGGCAGCGCCCAGTGCTAGCAAGGGTGGCCGTTCGCCATGGTTGTGCCCCCGGCAAGCGTCACGCTCGCTCGTCCATGCGCCACCCTAGCCTCCGCCATCCACCATGGCCGCGCCTCCGCCCGCGCCTCCGCTCGCCTCCCTGGTGTCCGCCGTCTGCCATGGCCTGGCCTCCGCCCGCGCGTCTCGCGTGCTCGTCCTCCACCCGCGCGTCCGCGCGCCCCGCTCGCCGGAGCACTGCCCTGGCCGAGGACCGGCGAGCAGCCGTTGCGGGATGCTCCTGCCGGATGCACCACCAAGGCCGGAGGAACTGGAGTGGCTTCTAGCGTGCTACCTGTGCAGGGAGAGAAGAAAAGGGAGAGGGAAGAAGAAGGCAGGGGCAAAAATGATATTTCGCCGCTCTTCTCTCTCCTCTAAAGTCATAAATGAATATTTTAATAGGCGCAGTGTCCTCTAGCAAATTTTTGCAAAAAACAGAGTGTCTTTTAGCAAATTTGATTATTTTTAGAAGAGAGGCCATTTTCGATGTCCCGTGACCAATTCCTCCTAAAAATAAATATATTCTTCGCAACCCGTTCGTTTTTTGAGCGAGGAAACAGGGCCTTCTCTCGGCCCACCAGCGTTTGCTTTGTTCCCTCGTGGGCCGGTCGTCGGTGCGGAACGGACATCCGGGACAACTCCGGATTCCTTCCAAACCGAAACGGTAAGAGAACTTGTACAGGCCCGTGGCGCCAGTTTGTAACAGACAAGACAGAGCAGTGAAATTCTCCGCCTCAATCTTCTTTCTGGAAATCGGTGAAACACCGAAATGTTAGTTGACTCTACTCTAGGCCCTCGTGTTTTTTCGTTATATTATTACTGTACATGTCAAAAGTTAAAACCGGATGCTGTTTTGTTAATTCTATCAGGTTTGGTTACTGACAAGTGAGAACATCATCATCCCCAAGATGAACCAATACATGATGCAGGTAAACCAACTGGTGCAATTTAGTGATCTCTATTCTTGCCAAAGTTAACGATCTTAACAGATCAACGGGCTGAAAGACAAGAAAGTTCATGTGACTGAAATACAAAAAGCTGAGATTCTGAGAACCCAGAGAGGTTTCCTGGGCGCTCTTTCAAAATGCTGGTCATATTGTCGATCCGTATTGTGCGGCGTGTGCATATATAAAAAAATCAGGTCAAGAGCATTGTGTGCTGATTTTTTCGGAAGAAACTGTCGAGCTATATTACCTTTCAAAAAGAAAATGTAAATCCATATTAGTAATGGAGCATGGAAAGTTGGACACTGAAACACAGCTAATGATGAGAAGCTCGTGTCTAATTGCGTGCACGCCACCAAGCACATGTCTAATTATGTGCACCATGTCAAAGAGCTACGATTAAGCCTAGCATGAGCAATAGGGGCCACTCAGGCTAGTTAAGGAGACTGCCTATGAACCAACTCAAAGGTTCACATTCTGATCCTTTGGAACAAAGGACATAGGCAAGTCATCTTTGGCTATCAGAGGCAGGCCCTTATTAACATGTAAGGCTTCTCCTCTGCTTGTCACCTGGCTAGCTTGGTAGCTTCTGTGACTGGTCTGTTGTGCTTCTTCCATCAAACATCTATTTATACATAAATACCTTGTAGAGAGAACCGTATCTTTTTTTTTTTTTTTTTTTGCTGTTCCAGGACATCTTATCCTCTAATTGGATAGCAGCATATATTCTAGCTTTCTCACGATATGGGAAACTTTGATGGCCTTGCTCGAGGCACGAGTAGATGTCAAAGACAGTGACAACAATATACAGTGAGCACATCCTGAACTGATAGAGATGCATACAATTTACATGCATAGGAAATGACAATTCTCTTGGATCTTGTGAAACGAGGACATTTTGATTATCCGAAAGGGATTTTGCCGATGCTGAAAGATGCCTAAAGCTACTGTTGTCGACATCTCTTTACAAAATGACGGAAAGTTCAGTTGCTTTTGGATCATTGGCTGCGCTAGTAGTTATCATGCACGGTTGAATTGATATACTTTGCTGGATGCTAGCAGCTGTTTGACAAATTTTGTTCTGATCTTCCACTAGGTATTTCCTTCTGGTGAAAACGAATTATGTATGTAGGACAAACTTTCCTTGCGTAGACTTCTATATTTATTTTCTCCTCCAACCTAAAATGTAGTAACGTATTCACAGGTTGTAGTCTTGTAGATATTGTTCTCCATAAAGCATGCAGGAGAATCAAACAGACAATGGTCAGAGACACAACATCAGGAGTAGATTAAAGAGGTTCATTCACAGAACACTATGATCTGATCAAGTTTTTTATGTTTACAGGACTCTAGCCATACGCTGCTTGGTAGATCGAGCTTCAGCTCCTGATTCAACTAGAAGCGATTTGGTTTGCCTTAGAACTTTCTCAGGTGAATCAGTTGGATTCTAATTCAAGAAGATAGGCAGAATAGTCATTTTGGTCCCTTAACAAGTGTCCAGATCTCAATTTCATTCTTGAACTTTAAAGTGCTTAAACTTTACTTTTTGTCTTTATTTCATCATAGAACTATCAAAGTGACCGCTTTATTCTTCAAATACTATCTTTTGGGCTTAATTTCACTAATGAACTATCAAAGTTTGAGGATTTAAATGACTATTTTAAAAGTTTAGAATCGAAGCAAAATTTGAAGAACAAAAGTAGTTTTAAGGTGAAATTTGTCACCCCACATCCTGGCAGGCCCAGCAGGCCGTCCGAGCCCAGGAAGCGCTACCGCAATGCCAGACTTTCCGGCGGTTTGTAACGTTTGTAAGGAAGAGCCTAGGAAGGAGTGACATATAGGAGAACCAGATTGTGTTTGTAAACGCTATGCTATGAACCACTAAGTAAAACAATGTTCCCCTTCTCCATGCCTGGCAACTTGCCGGCTGGAGCCACTTCTTCCTCTCTGATTCTGTCTGGAATCCTTCTTATATCAGCACTGCTAGCGCCCGGACGTCCGGACAAACGCCCAGGGCTGCGGTCCGTTTTCGCTTCGTTTCTCGCATCCACGTGAGGGCTCGCACCGCATGGACATCGCCCTCGTGCAACTGCGTTTCGTGCGCCCACGTGGGGTCCCGCGCCGCCCTGACATCGCCTGCGCCGTGCGCCCACGCAGAGCACGCTCGCGTCCCTCTCGCTTTCCACGCGCATCACATGTGCAACATGATTTATTTTTGAAACATTCGGATGTAATACTTGCAACATACAAAAGAGACAGATGAAACACTTGAACACATGTGTCTGAAATACTTGCAAAAACACGCGAAAAAACACTTGAAAAATATTGCAAACATACACAACATCTAGATAAAACACTTGTAACATACGTGTGAAACTTTTGCAACATCCAGATAAATACACTTGCAACATACGTTTGAAAAACAGATAAAACATTGGGAACAGACGCTTGCAACACACGTGTACAAACCATTACAACATCTCAATCTACTTTTACAACATCTATATGAAACACTTGCAACATACCTCTAAAACATCTGGAACATACATTTACAACACGTGTTTTTCAGCGCAACATGGTGTGGCGGCGCGGCGAACTGACGTGGTGGAGGCGATTGCGATAGCAGATGGCGGCACCCTACGCAGTGGAGGCGGCCGCGGCAGTCGGATGGAGGTGCCCCACCACGGTGGAGTCGCCCGCAGCAGGCCTACCCGTGCGTTGCGGCTCGGGGACGGCGGTGAGGAAGGACATGAGGCCGGCGTGACCGAAGAGCTTAGCGTCGAAACCTGCACCTCGACGTCATCGATCCATTATAGTGG